TAGAGGGGATAAGAGGAGAAAGGGGAGGGGGGGGGGGGGGGAGATAGTCAGAACTCACGAAAGTAATTTGGAAACCCGCTCGCCGCGATCGAGAGGTACGATCTCGGCTCCGTCGCCCACTCGTCACGCAAATCTGTCCCTTTGTCGCCAATGACGGGAAACGCTGGTCGGAAGGACGTATCGAACCCCGTGGCACATATGATGGCGTCGACCTCGTGCGTGGTACCGTCCAGCATCTCCAGACTTGTCGGCGTGATCTTGAGGATCGTCCCGCTTTCCACCGTGACATTGTCGGATGCGAGAGATTCGAGATAGTCGTGGCCGGGGGTTACTCTACAATCCGGTCAGATCAGGTCAGGTCAGGTCAAGTTAAGTGAGTAGGGAAAGAAAGAAACATCTGCCTTGGCCGGGCCCGCTGTGTCGCCAGGTGAACATACCTTCGACAGCCGACCGCAAAATCCGGTATGAGCTTGTCGGCCAAGTACTCCTTATTCCCCAGCTTCTGCCTCATATTCTTCTGGAACCTCTGGAAACTGTCCTTCTGGACCTGCGAGTCCTTGACCAGGACGTCGTAGATCTGGTTCATGCTGCCCTCGACGCGCTTGCGGTATTCCAGGAGTGCTCGTCGGTCCGTTGCCCACGCTTCCTTTTGTTCTTCGGAGAACTTGGTGTCGCGGCCGTCGGGGGCGAATTCGAGGCCAAACTCGGGAGTGATCCAGGTTGGGGAGCGGTTGAACGAGATGAGATGGCTGGCGACTGTGAGACAGCGTTAGCGGAATCAAGAGTCTTGCGGAAGGAGACTCGCTCGCGCCCTCACCTTTTCGCACGATGGGGACTATCTGAATTGCCGAGGAACCGTTGCCGATCACGGCGACTCGCTTTCCAGAGAAATCAAATGAATCGTCCCACCGGGCAGAGTGTGCGAGGAATCCGCGAAAGGTATCGAGGCCCTCGATCTCGGGCCATTTCCAGTTACTACCATCAGATCTGTCAGAAACCCTTCTCGCTCTGGGCTGTGTTTCTAGAGAAGATGGGAACGCACTTGAGAAATCCTGTCGCACTGATGACCACCTCAGCCTGATCCGTAAACGTTCGCGAGGTCTCCAGATCCTCGACCTCGACGTGCCACACGCCTTGATCATCGTGCCACTGCGCCCTAACGACGCGGTGTCGGGTGTGGAGATGATCGTAGACGCCGTACGCTTCGGCGCGGCCCTTGTAGTACTCGAAGATTTCTTCAGAGGTGACATATGCCATGGACCAGTTGGGGTTGCCTTCCCACGAGAAGTTGTATGCATGGGCTGGTACGTCACAGGCACATCTAAGATCCAAGTCAGCGAAATTATCTGGGCCAGGGTGTGACCTGTTCGTTCTTGAACCACACGACACAACACAACAACTGCTGCGCGACAGTTTGGTGAACATACCCAGGATATCTATTCTCCAGCCACGTTCCCCCCACGTCAGCATTCTTCTCGTAGATGGTCAGCTTCACCCCGGACTTTTCCAGGCGGTCCTTGAACAACTTGACTGCCGCGATGCCTGCGATGCCAGCGCCAATGACGATGACACGTATCGGACGCGGATAGTTCAGCACATGGTGCGGGTACTCGTATTCTTTGGCGTTGGAGGTGCTATTGTGTCCGTTCACCCCGTTGATCGCCAGCGTGGGGAGGGGATCAGCCACGCTGTCGAGTGTGCTTGTTTGAGAAGTCGCCATCATTGGGTTTCCCGTTCTGGCGCAAAAGGTTCAAGGTCAAGTTTACCCCTGCGCTTGCTTGTATCAATTTTGCGCTGTACAATAGTCTTCTGGAGATAAATCTAAAGACGGAGGTAGGATTCGTGTCCCCTTTTGGTCCCTGGTCTCTTCGCCGATCATTGGCGACTCGACTGGAGTTCACATGCCATCCAGACAGAAGCCGCGCATCGCCATCCGCCGAAAGTGTGGAAGTGTCAAATGGCTAACCAATACATCTGAGGCCGCACTATTCGATCGGAACTGTATCCATACCGTACCGTATCATACCACCCTCCGGATCCAACGTCGACTGGAGCTAAGGGAAGAGGTGTATGTTTGCGAATATAGTGGTTGCGGAACAGCGAGAATCCGTGTTGGTCTGGTGAGGCGGGCGGGAACAGCGAAGCAAAGCGGAAATGGCAACGGTCCCGAAATTGCCGTCGCGCGGTCGAGGGAGATGGACAGTCCGTGCCTTTGACGCACCGCACTGGCTGGTCGCTCATCTGGATGGAGAAGCAAGTGGTTCCAGGGCCTCGTTTTGGAGGTTTCCACAGGATATTACAATGTGGACAAGGGTGCGCAACAGAGCCCCTTTGCTTTCTGGGCCGGCGGAATCAAGGGAGTCAACGGGAAAACTAATGAGAATGATATCGACATGCAGCTTTTGCGGATGTATTACAGGCAGGATAATTACAGGAATGCTATACCCCTCTACGGCAGACCCTGCTGCCAGAACGTGGACGGGTCATTCTCCCCATACGCCTGCGACCCCGTGTCGAAGACCGACACCCTCCTCATATCGCGGCGGTACTTGCCCTCGTAAGCGCCGTGCGTAGCCCTGTGAATGGTCGCGGTATTGTCCCAGATGACCACGTCGTTATTGTTCTCCCAATGTACGGTCAGTTTGTACCTGTCTTGCTGGCAGTGGTTGAAGATCTCGCGAATCAATTCCTGCCCTTCTTCCAGCGGCTGGCCGTCGACGTGGTGCGTGTATGACATGCAGTAGAGGTTCATCCGCCCCGAGGGTTCGTGTAGCTGCGCCAGTTTGTGCTTCGCCTGTGGTTTCGTCATGGGGTCGATGTCCTTGAACAGAGGAGAATCTGGATTCGCGGTCTTGCGATTGTGGAATAGCGAGTTCCCTCCAACAAGGCCGTGGATCTTTGCCTTTGTCGCCTCCGGCAGGTCGTCGTACGCCGCGCGGCTGTCGAGAAACTCCGTCTCTCCTCCTGTTCCCTTCGGGGGGAGCTCGACGCCGCGAAGGATAGAGATGCCGATCCGACGCGGGTTGTACGCCCCGTCGCAGTGGAACAGGGCGTTGCCGTTTGCCCCGGCGGTCCTTTCTGGGTCGGCGGTGGTGAAGACTTGATCCTTGTCGTCGAGGTTGCCGACGTCGAAGATTTCATCGATATTCAGCCGAAATTTACGCCCGGCCAGGCGGTGAGGCTTGGAGCTGTCGAGTTCGCCAAAGCGCCGCCCCAGCGCCAGCGCCCTTTGGTCGTCCAGCGCCGTCTTGCGGATCACCACCACGCCGTACTTGTAGACGGCGTCCCGTAGTTCGTCGAATGCATCGTCAGGCAGTGGCTTGGACAAGTCGAGGCCGCTCACCTCGCACCCGAAGGTTGGGTGAAGGGGCTTGATATCGATGGCCGTGGCGATGGGCATCTCGGTGGTCTTTCGTTATTATTAGCGAATGGTTAGATGGGCTTCACTGTCGCACAATACGACGGCTAGGGTTCCTTGTACTTCAACCGCGGATTGGAGATACATCTGAGTGAGATGTCCATATTATACTTGACCAAGTCTGTGCATAAAATGACCCCGGATTTGCATGCCATGGCGGCGGAATTGCCAGTTCGAATGAGCGGGAATGGACAAACGAGGCTGCCTCTATTAAGGGGTTTGGCGGAATTGTATATTGTGGGACCAGCTTGATTGATTTGATTGGCGCACAAGCTACATACTCGGCTAACATTCCCAATATAGTTCGGGAAACATGCATTAGTTCTAGTGACGACATATTTGCCTGCTATCCTGCCGTGCCTGCTAATGTCTGTATGTGATGTTTACTCGGATCTTCCCAATGCTTCGTCAGAGGTGGCTCTCGAGGCAGCAAACCCGCTCGCCAGGATACTATAGTCGAGAGTGGTCAAGAGAAACTTCATACCCGCAACCGTGCGCGTGCGCACCAGTTCCGGCGTCGTCGCCATCGACCCGATGAGTTTTCCGTGATTACGACCAGCCTCGCAGATCCTGTCGACGGCGGCTATGAATTCAGGCTCTGGGCCATCGACACCTCCCGGCAGACCAAGGGATGACCGCAGATCGTACGGTCCGATGAAAACCCCCGTGACTTCGTCCAGGCCTAGGATATCGTCGACGTTTTGGACTCCTTCCACGGACTCGATGATGGGTAAGACCGCGATGCCTCGATCTCGTGCCCTCTGGTAATACGCCGCCCATCCACCTGTAGGGTCGCCGGATCCGAATGGAGCATGGAAAGGCCCGAAGCTGCGATTGCCCCCGGGCGGGTAGATGGCGCGGTCGATGATCTGTCTCGCCTCAGAGGCGTTGTTGACCATGGGTACGATGATGCCGGCCGCGCCACTGTCTAGCGCCCATTTGATCCATTCCACCCCGTGGCCCGGCACTCTGACGACGGGCAAGCACGAGCCGTGGGAGGAGCTCGACACCCCCTGTACCATCTCAGTCATGATGGCGGGGGACAGAGGTGAATGCTCCATGTCGATCATGACCCAGTCGAAGGATTGCGCCGCCAGACTCGCCACGAGGGATGACGGGACCGTGAGAACAGTCCCGAGAAGCGGCCGACCAAGCGCTTTGGCGAGGGATACAAAGGTATGTTTCTTGGGGGTTTGTTCATTGTGAGACGCTGCAGAGGGCGGACTTGTCGAGGCCATGGAGGAGAGGTATTGGGCTCAGGAACTCGCAAAGGGTTGTCTAACGCATAAAGCTCTATGTGCAAATCGGCCGGCGGTAGGAACAAGAGATCACTAGACAAGGATAACGAGATACACGCGGGTTGAGAACACGGGATATATTTGAAAGGTCTAAAGCGTTGTGTATGCCTTGATGTTATCTTACTCTTCACGGGCGGCAGTTCGAACGATGCGGGTAGTTCGCGTACGGGAGGACCCTTTGCCCGTAGGTCGGTTCTCTCACTGCTAATGATGGGAAATGAGGAGGTTACGAGTAAACATGTTTACGGAGCAGGCCTTGAGAAAGTCCCGTCACGCTCGTTAGGTACCTAGGTAGGGTAGTTCAGCAGCACCTCATAAGCTTCCGTCTGTCCCCAGCCCTCGTCCTTCATGCTCAAAAGTCGACAATCCATCGTGGGTGCGGAAAGCAGCGGGAGTAAGCAGCGGGATACGAGGGACATGCACGGCATTAACCGTTACAGATGGAGCTGGATGGAGACATCGAGTTCCGGGATTCCCAAAGTCCCTTTTTCGGTTTGTGAATTTTGATTGGGATCAGTGACCGACAGAGATTTTGCGAGGACGAGGAAGAGGATCGTTGGGGAGCGATCCGTGGTTCATGTTTCATGCATGTATCCATGTATGTGTGTCGGGAGGGCCTACTTGGCGCCTTGGTACATGGTACCACGCCCCAGCGCCATCAAGACACTTATCGCAATCCGAAAGTTCTGCCACGAACTATTGTCGAGAGCCGAGATCTGGCTGGACAGGGTTGTTCGACGGGTGCAGACATTGTCGAGGCCCTGTGTCTCGGTACCGCTACCGTCCTGATGGGCCGTCCGTTCTTGTATGCTCTCGGAGCCCATGGTACCAAGGGTGTTTTGCGAGCATTTCAGAGCAGGTCATGGCTCATTCATCAACGGGAGACCTTGTGCTAACACCATTCACAATTACAGTCTTGAGCGACGAGATAGAGATAACCATGAGACTGATTGGCATCACTAGTCTTTCCCGTGTCCATCCCGACTATGTCGACTGTGCCAGACTGGAGAATGAGCTACCTGCTTCATTGTCATCTTTCTCCGGGGTCTGTGACAACAGACTTTGATCAATGTCGCGAGACCAGGGGAGCTCATGTAGCTGGGAGCCAAAGGAGTCGATCCCTCTCGGTAAGCGGCTCTCAGGATATGCGCCTCATGTCCCGACCACCGACACGCACCTTTCCCAGCTGAACAAGATGATGAAATCTTCTTTTGTTCTCCGCAGGATCCGTACCCCGGACTTTGTCTAGGGCCGTTGTTCTCCACGCACGCCTACTTCCCCCGCCTTCTCCATGTCCCGACTAGCACCAGCCACGTCCTCGGTCGATGACATGGCTAAGACTTGTCGGCTAGCCGGCCCGGAGGATAAGGCGCGGACATAGGCGGAGTGATAACGCCCCCTCTATCTCCCAGATGCAGCTTGCTGAAAACGAATGCTTAGATCGAGATTGGCTGCAGCGGGCAGCGGGCGGATGCCGGGTCGCTGGCCGGCGTAGACCTTTGCTGGTGAGATTGAACAGCGTAGATGGGGACTTATCAAATGATTGGGGATGGGGGAGAGGTAAGGTACATACCTAGGCATATATATATGCACATGTACCAAGGACTGCCACTCCGTCACATGTACCTTGGTGTACCGGGTACTTACTTCACCGCTTTCTGTTGTTGGATGATCACAAAGTGGCTGATGTTCTCTCTCCATCCCTCTCCCTCTCTTGATCTGTAGACGCATCGTAATATATCTTGCTGGGCTTTCTCTCCCACGAGGACAAACCCCTCCGTTCCAATCATGGGGCTGCTCAGCACTGAAGTCGCTCTCCGACTCACTGTCGGACTCTTGCCCGTCCTGGTCATCTATTGGCTCCTCTACCCGTGGTACTTTTCGCCTCTGCGTAATATTCCAGGTCCTTGGTACGCCGTCTATACCAAATGGTGGCTCGTCTACAAGACCTGGCGAGGCGTCCGTGCAAAGACCATCCATGACCTTCACCTCAAATATGGGCCT